TTATTGTCCACGATGGCACAGTTGAGCAAATGCAGTTTCAGACCAGAGTAAAGCAAATGCATGGAAATAATGATTCAAGAGGCTTCATGTCACGATCACCAACTGAGCCCTTACCTGTGCTCTGGACGAAGGTGTTGCTTCCTCTCGGTTTGCTGGCGAATGGACCGATGCTTCAGGTGACCCTCTTTTGAACCCTGTGACCACTCCCACGGGGCGTTATTAATTACATAATTTCAAACAAACCGAAAATTTCTCACCATTTTAAAGCAGTTTATTCCTCTAAACTCTTAATCCATCCGCAATCACTTATTTTACACTTTTATATTCACTTAATTTCAACAATAGAATGTTTTTTTTATCATATTTGTTCATTTCTCAACCACGTGACCGTCATTTCGTATTTACTCTGTGGAAATCCACCGCATCGTCTAGTCTAAATTTATACTTCATTTCAACGTCGAGATTCGGTCTATTTTTAGACGTGATTTAGACGTATAAATGTATACGTCATTTCAACGTCTACACATAGACCGGATCTAGACAATCGATTTTAATCCACAATTCAAGAGTTGATTATTTAAAATGATAACTGAACGTTGCAGAACTGATCTCAATCTATGGGACTACTATCATACTCCTGAGCAGACGTTCCAGGAGTCGCGGAGTTTGAGAGTATTACATTCTGCTGAAAAGACCCACTGAGCAAAAGACGTATATTAGACGTCTAGTCTAAATTTATACTTCATTTCAACGTCTAGATTCAGTCTATTTCTAGACGTGATTTATACTTCGCCCTCAACTTCATTTTTCGATAACTATTTATGCAATAAACAACTGTAATGTGCATAACTGACCTTTTAATACTGGATTACATTACTTATGATACCGTGGAGAGATATGCAGCATAGTATAGATGTAGACGTCATTTACACGTATAAATTTATACTTCATTTCAACGTCGGGATTCAGTCTATTTCTAGACGTGATTTATATTTCGCCCTCAACTTCATTTTTCGATAACTATTTATGCAATAAACAACTGTAATGTGCATAACTGACCTTTTAATACTGGATTACATTATTTATGATACCGTGGAGAGATATGCAGCATAGTATCCCACTGAGCAAAAGACGTATATTAGACGTCTAGTCTAAAATTATACTTCATTTAGACGTCGGGATTCAGTCTATTTCTAGAAGTGATTTATATTCGCCCTCAACTTCATTTTTCGATAACTATTTATGCAATAAACAACTGTAATGTGCATAACTGACCTTTTAATACTGGATTACATTACTTATGATACCGTGGAGAGATATGCAGCATAGTATAGATGTAGACGTCATTTACACGTATAAATTTATACTTCATTTCAACGTCTAGATTCAGTCTATTTCTAGACGTGATTTATACTTCGCCCTCAACTTCATTTTTCGATAACTATTTATGCAATAAACAACTGTAATGTTCATAACTGACCTTTTAATGCTGGATTACATTACTTATGATACCGTGGAGAGATATGCAGCATAGTATAGATGTAGACGTCATTTACACGTATAAATTTATACTTCATTTCAACGTCGGGATTCGGTCTATTTTTAGACGTTATTTAGACGTATAAATTTATACTTCATTTCAACGTCTAGATTCAGTCTATTTCTAGACGTGATTTATACTTCGCCCTCAACCTAATTTTTCGATAACTATTTATGCAATAAACAACTGTAATGTGCATAACTGACCTTTTAATACTGGATTACATTACTTATGATACCGTGGAGAGATATGCAGCATAGTATAGATGTAGACGTGATTTAGACGTATAAATTTATACTTCATTTCAACGTCTAGATTCAGTCTATTTCTAGACATGATTTATATTCGCCCTCAACTTCATTTTTCGATAACTATTTATGCAATAAACAACTGTAATGTGCATAACTGACCTTTTAATACTGGATTACATTACTTATGATACCGTGGAGAGATATGCAGCATAGTATAGATGTAGACGTGATTTAGACGTATAAATTTATACTTCATTTCAACGTCTAGATTCAGTCTATTTCTAGACGTGATTTAGACGTATAAATTTATACTTCATTTCAACGTCGGGATTAGGTCTATTTTTAGACGTGATTTAGACGTATAAATTTATACTTCATTTCAACGTCTAGATTCAGTCTATTTCTAGACGTGATTTAGACGTATAAATTTATACTTCATTTCAACGTCTAGATTCAGTCTATTTCTAGACGTGATTTATACTTCGCCCTCAACTTCATTTTTCGATAACTATTTATGCAATAAACAACTGTAATGTGCATAACTGACCTTTTAATACTGGATTACATTACTTATGATACCGTGGAGAGATATGCAGCATAGTATAGATGTAGACGTCATTTACACGTATAAATTTATACTTCATTTCAACGTCTAGATTCAGTCTATTTCTAGACGTGATTTATACTTCGCCCTCAACTTCATTTTTCGATAACTATTTATGCAATAAACAACTGTAATGTGCATAACTGACCTTTTAATACTGGATTACATTACTTATGATACCGTGGAGAGATATGCAGCATAGTATAGATGTAGACGTCATTTAGACGTATAAATTTATACTTCATTTCAACGTCTAGATTCAGTCTATTTCTAGACGTGATTTAGACGTATAAATTTATACTTCATTTCAACGTCGGGATTAGGTCTATTTTTAGACGTGATTTAGACGTATAAATTTATACTTCATTTCAACGTCTAGATTCAGTCTATTTCTAGACGTGATTTAGACGTATAAATTTATACTTCATTTCAACGTCGGGATTCGGTCTATTTCTAGACGTGATTTATACTTCGCCCTCAACTTCATTTTTCGATAACTATTTATGCAATAAACAACTGTAATGTTCATAACTGACCTTTTAATACTGGATTACATTACATATGATACCGTAGAGAGATATGCAGCATAGTATAGATGTAGACGTCATTTACACGTATAAATTTATACTTCATTTCAACGTCTAGATTCAGTCTATTTCTAGACGTGATTTATACTTCGCCCTCAACTTCATTTTTCGATAACTATTTATGCAATAAACAACTGTAATGTTCATAACTGACCTTTTAATGCTGGATTACATTACTTATGATACCGTGGAGAGATATGCAGCATAGTATAGATGTAGACGTCATTTACACGTATAAATTTATACTTCATTTCAACGTCGGGATTCGGTCTATTTTTAGACGTTATTTAGACGTATAAATTTATACTTCATTTCAACGTCGGGATTAGGTCTATTTTTAGACGTGATTTAGACGTATAAATTTATACTTCATTTCAACGTCTAGATTCAGTCTATTTCTAGACATGATTTATATTCGCCCTCAACTTCATTTTTCGATAACTATTTATGCAATAAACAACTGTAATGTGCATAACTGACCTTTTAATACTGGATTACATTACTTATGATACGGTGGAGAGATATGCAGCATAGTATAGATGTAGACGTCATTTACACGTATAAATTTATACTTCATTTCAACGTCTAGATTCAGTCTATTTCTAGACGTGATTTATACTTCGCCCTCAACTTCATTTTTCGATGACTAATTATGCAATAAACAACTGTAATGTGCATAACTGACCTTTTAATACTGGATTACATTACTTATGATACCGTGGAGAGATATGCAGCATAGTATAGATGTAGACGTGATTTAGACGTATAAATTTATACTTCATTTCAACGTCTAGATTCAGTCTATTTCTAGACGTGATTTATACTTCGCCCTCAACTTCATTTTTCGATAACTATTTATGCAATAAACAACTGTAATGTGCATAACTGACCTTTTAATACTGGATTACATTACTTATGATACCGTGGAGAGATATGCAGCATAGTATAGATGTAGACGTCATTTACACGTATAAATTTATACTTCATTTCAACGTCTAGATTCAGTCTATTTCTAGACGTGATTTAGACGTATAAATTTATACTTCATTTCAACGTCGGGATTAGGTCTATTTTTAGACGTGATTTAGACGTATAAATTTATACTTCATTTCAACGTCTAGATTCAGTCTATTTCTAGACGTGATTTAGACGTATAAATTTATACTTCATTTCAACGTCGGGATTCGGTCTATTTTTAGACGTGATTTAGACGTATACATCTATACTTCATTTCAACGTCTAGATTCAGTCTATTTCTAGACATGATTTATACTTTGCCCTCAACTTCATTTTTCGATAACTATTTATGCAATAAACAACTGTAATGTGCATAACTGACCTTTTAATACTGGATTACATTACATATGATACCGTGGAGAGATATGCAGCATAGTATAGATGTAGACGTCATTTACACGTATAAATTTATACTTCATTTCAACGTCGGGATTAGGTCTATTTTTAGATGTGATTTAGACGTATAAATTTATATGTCATTTCAACGTCTACATATAGACCGAATCCAGACAATCGATTTTTATCCGCACTTCAAGAGTTGATTATTGAAAATGATAACTGAACGTTGCAGAACTGATCTCAATCTATGGGACTATCATACTCCTGAGCGTAACCAGTCTTTTCGCCATGTCCGGTCAAAACGCAAATACGGCAGAAAAATAAAATAAAAAACAACTTCGGATCTTAAAGCTTGGGTCCTGCTGAGTACTCGACAACAAAGTTGGTCGCTGAAATTCAATTTAATTCTTAGATTTCATGTGTTTTATCCGTCTCGGTAACACCGGCTGCCACCGTGACAGAAGTGGTTGCACGGTGGAGCACGCTCACGTGATCCACCGTGCAACCACTTCTGGTAGATTCTAATTCCGCCAAGAGCAAAGTAGTATCTGATAAAAGTTATCGGCATAGCCGCAATACTACGAGATGAGCGATAAAAAGTATTTGGTAGCTCTGCAAGAGCCCAGCATAACACCCGTTTAGAGATCGGACCATAACATGAAAACGGCTTCAAATTGTGGACCGCACAACATCCGGCTGAAGCATTGCGCTTTGTACACACTCGACCTCACAACCGTCGGAGTACACCAGAAGTTCCAGGAGTCACGGAGTTCGAGAGTTATACATTCTGCTGAAAAGAGGTGGGGGCTGAAGGAGATATTATAGAAAATGTTTATTTTTGCAAGCTTTGGTCCTCCCACCGTCGTGCATCATGATGCGTGACGGTGAAATGCATTTACAGCAAATGTTAAACTCGAGTTCGCATGTAGCCTGGTTGCTACTACGAGGGCTAGCTTGTGGCTAGTTTAGCCAGCATTAAATAGTCCATGCTAACGTGTGTTGTCATGAAAGTAAATAAGGGCCTGCTCTCTCTGTTGGAGCCAAGTTTAAAAGCTGCTAGTTAGGCTATCCAATTAAATGAGAAAATGAAGCCTATTTTGATGCCAGTACTGTTGTTTTTGTTTATCCAGTGGTATTTTTTCATAAAATTAAATTTGTGTTTAACTGTAATTGTCATAGATTGTGTTTTCACTATGTGTGGTAGAAATGGGACGCATTAGTTGAATTATTCCAATAGTAATTTGTTAATGCATTAGCAGTGCTATAGGAAATGCTAATAGTAAAAATCTAAAAGTACTGGTATCGACATATTTTTTACCAAGAGCAAAAGATATTCATTATGCATTATGTCCTGTTTCACAAGTTGCCAATTGTTCTAAAAAAACAAAACAATTTTATAATGGTTGATCTACAAGTTCACACTGTTATTAACATTATTATTTTTCTACTTTCTTTTTTCCGTGTGTTTTCTTTCCAGCCAAATTGAATATGGCCTCTAATTATTTGAAAGAGTGGCGGAGAAAAAGAGCTAGGGAGGATGATTTCATGGATGAATTTTTGAATTGGATTCAAGGTAAGGATTTATCAGGTTTAGCAGTGGTTTTTAAGTAGGGTGGGGGCTATTTTAAAATAGTGCAACAGCATATGATTTTGTGTTTAAAAGCCAAAGTTAAGCACCACACTCATCATCCATTTATTGTCTCGTTCTCGGATTTTGCAGCGAGGAAGAGGGTTTATTCCTACCCAATGCCTGAGAAAAGTAAGAGTGGCGTAACTACAGTACAAAATGTTAAGTAATGTATTCTAATTATTGAATTGAATGTTACTAAATCATATCTTTTCACCAAGAGTTCCAGCGGGTGGTCGTGGAAACACTTTTGGAAATCTGCGATGAATTGAAATCGCTCAACCAGCAGGGGGACATTGAAGATGAGGGTGAGCAGATACGTCAGTTGCCGTTAAGGACTTTGGAGGAGGCTCAGCGCTAGTTTTGGAAATCAGTAGGCACCCCAGCATAAAACGTGTACTGGTAAGTCAAATAGAGATGCTAAAAATGATAGAAATCTATACATTAGACACTCTTGATAATTTGATTATATCATACAGATAAAACAACTGTCACACCTTGGGGGGGAAGGACATTAAGACCTGCACACGCAGGATCCTGGACAGGTATGAATATGAATACTTTAAAATGAATGCAAGACAATGTAATGGTCAATGTTATTAATATAATCATGTATTGTTGGTGTTTATCAAGTCTTTCTAGTGAATTGCAAGAGTAAGCAGTATTAAGGTGCGTTCACACAGGCACTTGCGCAACGGCAGCGAGGGTTTCTCTGAGGTTTTAGGGACTTGTTCCGCAAATAAAGAGCAGTGCTGGACACGGTATCCGACGAGATCGAGGGGAAACCTAGAGCGGGTGGGGCGTAATGCGCAACGCGAATTTACGGTGGCAAAGTGACACGTTTTAGGACACAAGACAGGACAAGTTGCGTTGCCTGTCCGGTGTGAACGCACCTTAAGAGATTTATTTGTCTTTGATATCCATTTCAGAATTTTACACAGTGACGTGCAGAGGAACTACAACCTCCTGGGTGGAGGACGCCAGGGGAAAAAAAGCTTAAAGAAAACTGCTTTCTTCACAGTTGTTCTTGGTAAATGAATTACATCTCTGCAAGTTATTACTTATTCTTGGTCATGTTACTGACTCATTTAAAGCCTGAAGCTGTAAAAAAGTGAAGAATCCTTCCGGACAATACTAGATAATTTCTACACTTACTATGATTCAAGTTTCTTTTGTTTTTTTATCTTTTTGCAGAGTCTGTTAGCACTAACTTCCCAACAGCAACAGAGGAACTGGTCGCAGCATCGATAGGGGACCATTTGAAACAGGCACCAGCTCGACGTGGTGGGAGGGGCACCACCAGAACACCACCCTGCTAATTTAAAAAGTATATATATATCTTGAAATTGTTAATATTTATAGTTCATTTCAGTATTAGTATTAGTTAAATTTTCTTTATGTTGTTGGTCTTGTTCTTTATACTTTGTAGCTATGTTTTTATTTAGATAAATAGATTTTTTTTTCTTTTTTTAAATGTTCGTTTTACTAGATGTGAAATTAAAAAATTGTTTTTCCCACTCCATGACTGTAATGGTTATATTCTGAGTAAAAAATGTATTGTGATTTTAATTACAGTGGACTGATGGTTGCCAAATGCAGATCAGTGTTAAATTATGAATGAGCATGACTGTAGAAGCTATTCTATTTCGGCATTGTTGCTTCTCTTTCTGGACCTTTTAGAACATCCTGGGGGTACGTGTATCAAGGTTAGCAGCAGGTAACTTTTGGTGTAGAGAATCTGGCTCCACAGATGGTGTTTCCTGTGAATACTTTCATCAATTTATATATATCAGATGCTTATGGTAATATGCATTGTTGATATTTAGTAAATTTATTAAAATATTTACAAGACACGATTGTGCCTTTAGACGTCCGTTGGACCTGTAGTCTAAAAATGGTTTAACAGTGGTATAGAAATGAAAGTTTAATAGACTCGTTCGGTCGGCGCCGTAGGCTGACCGGGGACCTGCGGGCTCCAGCGGCTGCCGCTGCTGGGACCGTCCGCGCACAGGGAGAATTAAGTTTCTCTCATCTCTGATGTGTTATTTTTGATGATTTTTCAAGGTTTAACCAAGGTGGACAAGCATACAACGTCAACCCTGTTACCACTGTTTAACATATAAACCTAAACAATTTTCTATTTCTCAAAATAAAATCAATATCTATAAGTAGTCTAATTAACTTTCAAAGTATCTAGCTTGCGCTTTAGCTAGCACTTATTTAAGATAGCTACAGGCAGATTAGCTTAAAATGGTCAACCCTGTTACTGTCAAGCCTGTTACTGTTAACCCTGTTACCACTTTTCAACATATAAACCTAAACAATTTTCTATTTCTCAAAATATAATCAATATCTATAAGTAATTAACTTTCAAAGTACCTAGCTTGCAGTTTAGCTAGGACTTATTTGAGCTAGCCACAGGCAGATTATCTTAAAATGGTCAACCCTGTTACTGTCAACCCTGTTACCTTTCCATAGTAACAGGATTTGACATGTGAGTAACAGGGATGACATAGAATAGTGTTTACCCTCATTGTACTCTCTTTAAAGGTTAACCTTTTAAAATTAAAACATTTTTAGGTCATCAAGTGAACATTATTGGGCTTATAATTATTTTTTGATTGATTCATTGATTGTTACGCCGGTGGCGAGCCAGTTACTGAGTGTCCGGTTGCTTTTACTCATGTCAGCCCTGTTACCATAACGTCAATCTGGTTGTTGTCATTAATTTGATAAAAATATTAAAAATGACAACTCAAATGGGCTTTCAACACTTAGCATTATAATTTAAACTACATTATATTTTAGATTGGGCCATTTTTCAACATTTCTCTTCTAAAAAATATCTGATATATGTTGGGACATATGATCACCATGCAAAATTAGGGTATATTTGATCATCTGAATGACAGATATCTAATTGGAGAAAAAAATCCACAAAATAAAATAATCTCAATGAAAAGAGAGGCTAAAGTACTGCTAATATATGTACCATATATTGCATATTTCTATTTAGAAATATTGTATTTTGTTAAATTTATGTTGGTAACAGGGTTGACAAGATTATGAAAACAGCCAGGAGAAAGACAGTTATAAGATATGAAATAACACAGCTTGAAATGGCACAATATCATTTTCTGCCATTTTAAACGTTCTTTGATTCCTGGGTACTGAAAAATTAACAATTAAATATAGTTTCAATTTTAAATTTTCTAAGTCGAAAAGGCACAGATTTCATGGAATGACCCAAATAGATAATGATGGCACTTTGTCATGTTACAGATGTCTCCTTTGTCACATTAACAATTTTTATCTTATTCCACCTTGTTCTCAAGACCTCCTTATGGTGGGCAAGACATCATAGAGAGAGGGTTCAGTTCCTGAAGTCATTGGTTTCAGACGTGGGAGTTTAGTTGGAGTGTTATGAAGTGGGTTATGTCTTCAGTTCAGGTTTTTAGCTTTGGAAGTTTCCATCTTGACTGGGGCATCTTTTGCAGCAGAAGCCAGGTTACAATAAGCAGGAGTTATCATATCAAAGCTGTAAAAAAAAGTTAACTTGTCAGTCACCTCTGAGTAACAGGTAGGCCTACAAGTATTTTAATATTTATCACAATCACCCTGAATTTTTAGTTTTTATCCTCCATGCTGGTTTCTGAGTTGTTGTGTGCAGCTTTTCAGCTTGAGGGCAGTATTTGGGACTAATCTGGATCAAAACCAGTGGAACCTACACTTTGCCTGCTTGCCATCTTGCCAGAAGTCCCAAATTTTCACATTTTTGTAGCCTATCAATTGGATACTGGCGGTGTTTTTACCGAGTTACCGCTAATAGACGCGCACTGGAAGGTAATCGTTAGCCATAGCTCTGATGTTTTGAGGGCTTGTTTTGGGTTGGTTATTCCAGGGAGTGAGGAGATTAATTTGGATGGGGGGCCTTTAAGAGATATTGGGGATCGGACGACCTCGTGTGACTTCCGGGTCACGTGACGGATGCATCATCGCGGCACTTGGAGCCACCAGGAAGTCCGTTATTGTCTGGACGAACCGTAGCGACGGTAATAGACGCGCAGTGAGATGTAACCGGGGCTGGCCTTGGTTCTGAAACGGCGGCTGTCAGGAGCTCAGAGTGCCACCTTCCCGCAGCCGGACAGCTGGGCGGGAGGTGACTGTGAGCGGCCCGGTACGGAGGATAACGGTCTACCGGGGCCGGGGTGGGGTTTGCCGTGACGGGCTGCGGGGTTTAGCGTGAGTGGGTTCGATTCCTCAGGGTGTCTCAGGATGTAGGCCGGTGATCCTGCTGGAAGAGGTGAGAGGATAACGTGTTCGGGTGTGCTTTGTTTCAGTTCTGATGTGAGTCAAACAGAGATATGTGCAATAATATCCTCACTCATGAGCAGTCGAAGCTCTCTGGTGGTGTACAGACTTGTCAGACCGCCGTGCACATGCTCCGTTACTGCGGTCTGAACTGGCACAGATGGAGCGGTGTAACGGGGTGATGGAGCTGCTGTAGGCCGGACTCTCTCCTCATCTGTCCACGCTCTGAGTATCCACGGGGGTGTCTGTGTTTACGGATTATCAAAACAAGAAGAGGAACCTTTTTATCCGAAATTAATTATATCTACAACACCTCCCTAAAGCTGTGTTTATTTCTGATCACAGCCCCGTGTGTGTGTGTGTGTGTGTGTGTGTGTGTGTGTGTGTGTGTGTGTGTGTGTGTGTGTGTGTGTGTGCGTGTGTGTGTTTGTGCGTGTGCGTGCGTGTGTGTGTGTATATCATGGAGTCTCCAGCAGGGTATAAAAGATGAGCAGTATGTTGGATCTGTTCTCCTGTCTGCCAGGAGATGCAGATGACTGTGTGCTTCATCATTCCTGCACACCTGATGTACTGTCTGATCCTGTTTATCTTAGTTTCAAGCACTAACATGTCAATTACAAGACTCTAGGGGGTAAAACATGATTTTAATGTGATTTATGGTGACCTACCCCACACAGCTGATCAATCAACTCGTCTGTATTCATTATTAATACATTGTGTTAATGTTATAGTGCAGGTCTAGATCATGCTCTGTGTTTTATTATTCACAGGGACCGAAGATTAAGCTATAAATGAGCCACAGAACTTCCTTTAAGACTTTGGACAGAACCAGACTCATGGTGAACAGACATCTGCTGAGACTGTTAGAAAGATGGAGGCAAACAAACAGAGCAGGAGTTTTTGATATCATCATCATCATCCATCATATTTTATGATGCATATTTTTCTCCTTTTTCAGGAGAGCCTGGTGGGCTTTCCATACCTGTAGAGCAAACAAAGCAAAAGGAAAGATTTTTCTGCACTTCATGTGCCGCTCAGTGTCTGCTAGACAAGATGAGTACAGACAGACCCAAAAGGAACATCATCAAAAAGAAATATGTAAGTGATGCTCGTTTCTTTTTCCTTAAAACTCACATTACAAAGAGAAGTACAAAGAGTGTATGTCATTTCATCACAAAATCTGTCATGGAGTTTGAGGGTTTTTGAGGCTTTAACTTTGTTTAAAGCACTTCTAAGATACACAAACCTTTATTCTATTCTCTTTTCATGAAAACCACCAGATAATCATTGATGGTATTTGATAACATTATCTTTTGTGTCTGATCTCTGTAGGATATCAGCGATGGGATGCCATGGTGTGAAGAGCGTCTGGTCAGGAAAGTTCTGTTCCTCTCCCTCAGGGAATTCAGAGACACGCACCGTGCCACACACAAAAACACACACATACACACGTGCACAAACAAACGCACACAGAAAAACACAATCTTACATGCGCCACAAAAGACACAAACATCGACAAACACACCCTCACAGAAACGGCAGAGTGTGCAACTTTCTCAACAGAAAGTCACACACAGACCAGTGAGCACACACACACAGAGAAACCAACAAGTTTCCAAACAACTGCAGCCTCATGAACACAACAGAAAAGGGCATAAAAATCAGCTGTCTCAGGATGCGCACACACCAAAAACTGCAAACACACCTAAAAACACACATACACAATCACACAGTGTCTCACAGAGGACTTTGACATCAACCAGGACTCTACGCTCACACACATCACAAACTGCTCCGGTGCTGCCAAACTCTACAAAACACATACCCCACACACAGCACAGACACACAGTTAGAAACACTGAGACACCGCTGAACAAAGCTTCCCCAGCCCGAACACTGAGGTCCCAAACTCCAACAAACCTCAAAGGTTAGTACCATTGACTTTGTCTTGCTGAAATATGAGGGTCTTTCCTGTAAAAGTCATTGTCTTAATGGCAGAGATGTTGCTCCTAAACCTGTAGTTATTGTTCAGCATTAATGGAGCCTTCACTGATGTGTAAGATACCAATAACTTTAACCCTAATGATCCCCATACCATCAGGAATAAAAAAAAAAAAAGTCAAATTTTGACTCATCAGACCACAGGACAGTTGTCCACTCCCACTCAGTACACCAGATAAGTCTCTGGTGTTTCTGGATCATGTTTGTGTGGTTTCCTCTTTACATGGTTCAGTTTTAACCTCATTTGTGTATGCAGTGATGAACTGTGTTCACTGACAAGTGATTTTGAGCCCATGCAGTTTTTTTTTTCTACTATAGAGTCCTGTCTTTATTTAATGCAGTGCTGCCTGATGGCTCTGCTTGTTATTTTCTTTAAACTTGTTCTGATTATCATTATGTGACTGTTACTCAGTATTTCTCCTTAAAGGTAGAGGACATCTTGGTACTAAAGCTTTGATTTCTGTTTATACTTGTTCACTCTTTCACTGTTTCAGTCCAAGTTGTAACGTGCTTAAATGTACCTCCTACTTTGTAAAGTGATGCAGTGTTTCCTAACTGACACAGATGCTCAGACTGATCTGTACAATGGAAATCCCCTGACTTTTTTTTAAGGCATCATAATCAATGGAATCAGCAGGCATCAGTCCCTTCTACCAGCCAGTCCCACCCATATCAGGTCCTTACAGACCAGACCAGGTCCCCCTCAGCGCCGCCCTGCCAGCATCTACCGTGACAAAGAAGACCCTGCCAGCAAGAGGTCGGCAAACATGGACTTACTGTTGGCTTTAAATGCTTTTCATGTTAGGTAATGTATATATGGGTGTGTTTCTGTAGGCCAAGGCTTCAAGCCCAGAGGAAGTTTGCCCAGTCCCCACCCAACTCTCCTGGTCCTCCATTGTTGATGACATCACCACGAATTAACTACATCAGCAGCCAGACCCTAGGCACCTGTCTGACCAGACGTCGACCAAAGACGGAGGACTTCCTGTCTTTTCTTTGCTTAAGAGGTAAAAACATAAGGGGAGGTAAGTTGAATTGGGCACAACTTCTACTATAATATACAGTGCTGTGAAAAAGGATTTCCCCCCTTAAATATTTCTTCTACTTTTACTTTTTTTTTTTTGCCTCAACTGTGATTAACCACATCAATTGGAAAGATGAGTTAAATTTCACAAGCTACACAGAGGCCTGATTTTTGCCAGTCCTGTAGAGTTAAGAAATCACCCAAACAGAACCTGTCTGACAAAAAAAAGATTAAAAGATTAAAAAAAAGCAACATGTCATGCCTCAACCTAAAGAAATGTAAGAACAGATAAGAAACAAAGTTACTGACATTCATTATTTTAGAAAGGAAAAAACATTTCTAAGGTTTTGGGACTCCAGAGCACTACAGTGAGTCATTAAGAATCAGAATCATTTATCCTGGGGGGAAGTTCAGCATACACCTGCTCTTGAAAATTTAAATATTGATAGTAGAATAGAAATAGGAATGAAATGAGAACAAATAATACATTGCAACTGTTAGTGAAAAGTGCAGAATATGAGTGATATAGCTTTTTACGAAAGCGCAGTATTGAGTATTGACCTATATGGTACTACACAGAGTATTATACAGTTTAGCACAATTATATTAATAAATGTATTGCACAATAATATCACACAATGTAGCTTGATGATCAATGTATTATTAGTATAGCACTCTTGGATTATTTAAGTTCTGGCTGGTTTACAAACAGATTGAGAAGTTTACAGCTATTGCATGAGAATAAGTCCGGTGCAAGACAGTGTGTGTGACCCTCAGAGGGAGGAGATATAAAGTTTGATGGCTACAGGTAAGAATGACTTCTTGTGATGCTATGCTGTCGATGAGTTTAACCTCTTAAAGGCCTCAGGAGTAACCTGGCAGGAAACACCTTCTATTCATCAACCCAAAGTGGAATGGTAAAACCCAGTCCAATAACATACATATGTCAAAATCAATAACTTCAACTTTGTTTTCACATTAGGTTCAGCAGCGTTGCCTAGCAACATGGCCTTCTTGGGGAGTGGACGGGCAAAAGAGCCAGCCAATAATCAGCATCCCACTTATTCTCCTTCCACCAATCACAGAACTGTAGCTCAGGGAAAGTACACAAGGCTTTTCAGTAGATCAACAGGTACGTCAGCTGATCTGAAATATTCATTCAATCCAGAGAGATGAAGAGTGTGAGGGTCATTCCTCTTTTCTCCTCTCTCCATTTTATTGGTCTTTGGTCCCACAGTGCAGAGGGACTCACAGCATCTTAGAGGGAGTGGACGGTCTGCAGCGGTCAGCTCCCCTTGCCCTCTATCTGCCCGCGCAGAAAGGAGGAGGGAGAGGAAGAAGAGAGAGGAGGAGCAGCAGGGAAGAAGGAGCAAGGGAGTGGAGGGGACTAGAAGAGACATAGCCGAGAGACACCTCCTGAGACATCGCCAGCCCCCCCTACAGGTCAGGAGGAACAACAAGGTAGGATAACTGGTCTGCTTCCCTTGTTGTCTGCTGGTAACCTCAGCATTGTTAAGACTGGATTTAAAGGTGGGGTAGGCAGGATCTGAGGAAGTGCCAGTTTTGGGGAGAAATCTTGAATGTAAACACTACCCCTCCCAACCAGTTTTTCCCTCAGCTCCTCCTCTCCCCTCCGCCTCTGCTCCAGCAAGCCCCGCCCACAAACAGAAACTCATCCTTGCTCGTATTGTTTCAATTAAATTCAGATATAATGCAGATAAATACTTCAGATAATTACAAATGGAGCCCAGTCAATGTTAAAGTAAACAGCAGTGGTGCTACTGTAGATGCCAACAGATGACCAAAAAACATTATGTTTGCAGGACTTCTAAAACTAGGGTAAAGTGACATACTCCAGGACCCGAGGTAAACAGTGTAGTGGTGCTACAACACGCAGCAGGTCCCGTTTGATAAGAAACACTTCTGTTACACTTGGCTTACTTTGTTAAAGCAGTTTACCTGTCCAGCAGAAAGGTTACAGGGTCAGTAAGATCCCAAAGTGTCCCCCAACATTGTTGACCGGGCTTCTTAGCTCTTGTCCGGGTGGTCTACCTCCTTTTTAAGCGCCCATTATTCCGCCAGAGTTTCCAGTATTTACTTCATTTTCTTGCTTGTGTTGGTGGTCGTGGCTAAAGCAGGATTTAGACAATTTTCTGTAATTTCTGGTTGGTCTCTACTGTCTGATATTGTAGCACGCTAACTTTGTTTGGGTTCTGAACGACACGGGGGAGAAGCGTCTGCCTCACAACCAATCAGGATGGGGGAGGTGGGGAATGGCTTTGTTTACAGTCAGAAAGAGCGGAGCACTCTGAAAATATTGACTACACAGACATAACAAAACACAGCGATATCGTGATATTACCAAATATCAATGACTAATAGCTATTGACTGATATTAAAAGCTTTTTTGTATATACACCACAAAGAAAGATGCTTCTTTAACGAATTCCTGCCAGAACAGCACAGCATGACACAACATGTCAGGACACCACTCAGCGTGTTAGAGAATAACACAACTCAAAAGAGCATGATACAACTCAATACAACACATCATAATAGGATGGGGAACAATATAACAACAGGATACAACATGATACAACTTGACATGACATGATACAACACAAATGGCTGTAAAGGGCAGAGCAGAGAGACATAGCAGACAGAGGGATGAATGGCTTTAACTGTAAACCAAATAAATCCAACACCAGTTGTTGACTTCAGATAAATTCTCCTGAGTGAAAGTGACATGAAATAACTCAGTTCAACTGTGATTATTGAAGCTCTCTCTCTTTTTCAATGTGTCTGTGTTGATCATCCACCACTGCGTGATTGTTCTCTACATAGATAGTAGATATTGTATCGTTTTATCATATGCGTGATGGGTATGGTTAATTAATTTACCGATTGATCCATTAATCAAGTACTCGCAAATCAAACATTTTTTAACAGTTGGCTGTGGTGTGCCAGTCATTGGTACAGTGTGTCTGATGGTTAGTGGTTTTCATTTGACAATTGCGAATGAATGACAAGTTAAGGTAATGTACAACTCTTTGGTGAGACCTGGGCACCTTGTCAACATTGGAGCTTGGCCCTCTGACCATTTAAAAATATTCAAGAATAATTTTCCCAAAACTGGTTTTGTTACCCAACATGCATTTTATTTAAGTCACCATTAAACATTCTGTTTTGTTTTTTTTTCCGTAAATTTCCTTGAAATAGTGGTTCAAAAACACAATTTCCCCTCACTATCCTCCTTGAGGAATGGTATGACATATCCTATCCCCTAACTTTAGAAGTTCTGACCCTGCCCTCCTGCTATTTCTGTAAACTCAATCTGGTAAGTTGCCAAATATCAGGTGAGTAAAAAACAAAAAAGGGAAAGAAATAGGAGAGGTCTATGGGAAAAAACATGTTAAGAAAGCAATGAATAAAAGGTGACCTCCAAACACCCAAGAGACGGTGAGACAGTTAAACACTTGTCACAGTCACTAACAGTTTTAAACCTACCCTAATGTTGATGCTGGTTAGCATCCACTATGACAATAGATGACAGTGGAGCAGGCATAGCTGTGGCCTGTTGCTAAAGAGGTGAGGCAGAGGAGGAGAGAACAGGGTGGGAGGGGCTGCAGGGAGAAAAAAGAGAGAGAGGAGGGAGAGAGACAGGCATAGCAATATGGGAGTGTTCGAGGGACTTGCGGAGCATCTGATTCAGAGTCAGAGCAGCAGGATCAGACACAGAAATTGGTTTGGGACTAGAGTGGTGTATAGTTAGCATGTGTAACACAACCTATGGGTCTGTCTTTTTAAATTTTTGATTTTATTGCCTTTTTCCATTGAAAGAGTGAAAAAACGATAATGAGTTACAAATTGGTATCCAAAATAATGTCTTGTGTCTGTGAAGGGGGCCAGTATGTGGGAAATGGATAAGGGAAAGTGGCACAGGTAAAACTGTCAGCATCTAATTTTGATCACCCCTGTGTTATTTTCTTCAAATTGTCTCACAATGTACTGTGACTGGCTGACGTGATGTCCTTCTGTTTCAGGTGGCTTTGACTTCAGGGTTGTGTGAACGGAGAACCACCCTTGTCAAGTCAGTCCCATCCTCAAAGCCTGGCACAGGGACTCGCAGCAGAGGATCTACCAGAACCTCAAAAAAGCCCCGCCATACCTGCAAACCAAAAGGCCAGCCCCCCAGCAGACCCAAGGAATCCAACCACAAACACCTCTCCGTGCAATCAAGCAACCAAGAGCTGCCTCGCAATCACCACCTTCCTCTCCACCGTCGTACAGTCTCCAACTGCCATAGCAAACCCAAGACCCCCAGCATTCTTCAGAACTCAGGAAGAAACTCAAGCAGGCCCCCAGCTCATACACCATTGGCTAATGGCTCAGTCACCAGGCTGCAAAGTGAGAACCCTGGGTCCCTGAGGGTGTCTAGAAGGAAGAGAGGCCTCCCACCAGATACACGCCCCGCCCCTCCTCATCCTCAGGGCAACTACTCATCAAGAAAGAGCAGGACAACACAATACAATCATGTTCATGTCCCACTGGAGACTGTAGAGGTTTTACAAAAGGAGACAGGCTGTAATAAGGTAAATGGAGCAGAGGACACGTGTCAGGACAAAGACCCTGGAAAAGAAAGAAGTGGCCATGGTGAGGAGGTGAGATTACAGACCAGTAATAGTACTAGTGAAGACCAACAAGTAAAGGGAAATGTTGAAAAGTTGAGTCTGGAAAGCATCAGTTCTCCGAAGCCCTCTAGTACAAACGGTGACCCTAGCCCTATCAGCAAGGTCACAAGCAGACCCATCAGAGAGACGAGGATCCAGAAAAACCAGCCTGCTTCATCCGCAGTCACTAAACCAATCACCAGGACTACTGATTCTAGAGCTAGAGCTGCTGGGACTACATTTACTAAAGCTGCTATCAACTCAGTGACTTCTACTCAACCAGACCCACCAGCCACTTACTCTGCCAAGCACAGTGCTAAGGGTACCAACAAAGGTACTAGCAAAGACATTACCAAGTGTACTTCACCAGCAAGCAGGTACCCGATCCATTACTCCAAAGGTGCTGCAAAAGACTCTTCCAAGGACACCACAGGGGATGCAACCAAGGACCGTTCTAGCACTTCCAAGGGCTCCACAAAGGGCCTTACCGAGACCAAGTCCACTACCTCAGCCATCAAGACCAGGACCAGCCCTAGATCCCTCCAGAAGCGTTAAAATTACTTATTGTACATGTTTTCTTCAAAAATTACTTAAACCTGGGTGCTGTCTATCATAGGGAACGAGTGATGATGGTTGTTGGCTAGTAGGATCTTTAAGAAAAGACAAAAACGTTGGTGTCTGCCGTATTCTGGTCTCAGAACACAATTGAGAAGATAGATCAATCAGATGTGAGCAAGCTTGGGTTGTTTGCAAGAAAACAGTCAGTGTGGAGAACAAATACTTAATGCATTGGTCAAAATCAAGAAAAAAAACATTGGCTCTTATTGATCATTTTGCATTTCACTGAGCTTTGTAAAAAGTAACCCCAGACCCCAAAAAAGTAACTGCAGATCACAATCCAGTCATGAATGATACCATCTCTCATAATTCGTGTGCGGCATGAAATAGTCAAGTTTTTGTGAGGGTGTCTTCTATCACCCATCTGAATGATCAATGATTATTCAAGATTTCAGAAAGTTTTGCTATAGCTCCCATTTGCTCAATGGCCAGTTGCCTTTGAGATTGAATTTTTGGTTGCAGTACAGTTTGATTAGCCAGAGTAGTATTGACCCAGTAGGTTTGAGTATGCTTGAATTTTTGCAGGAAAAGTTTAGGTGCAATGAGGTGCAATGAATTTGCTGCAGTGCAATCCAAGAGCCCATCCACTATTTCTACAATATAACTGAGCCATTTTTATCTGGATAATAAATCCTGTAAGCAAAGACCACATTCATGCCATCAGTGTAGACTGCTACACCTGTGTAATATCTTTTATTACCAACAGTTATCAACAATGACCTGGGTGTATGAGGTTTGAGTAATCAGGCATTCAATCCTTCTTTTATATCCTATAACTGCTAACTACTCTTAAGTCTCAAAACAAATGCATGTTAGATCCATTGGCTGGTCAGCCAATGGGATCAGATTGGTTTTTCTGATTGTTTACAGTCAGAGTAGAGCTGACACTTTAGGTTTAAATGGTGTCAGGTTATCATGCAGTCAATCTGAGGAACAAAAGGTAGAATTAAACTCCCCAAATTTGATCTTTGAACCTATCAGCTGTCAAGGAATGTCTTTTTTTCATGTTATGTATGTCACTGAAAAGATGTTTCTCAAAACTGGTCATAGATGTCTCCTACACCTTTTAAATAGCTAAATTTTTCAATCATTACAGACAAAAAGAAAAAACATTTTTGTCTAGATAGCTTTTATCTTAATAACCACTGCCTAGTCCTGAATCCCAGAAAAAAGTTTTTATTTCTTATTTTAAGTTTGTTCTGATTTTTAATTTTCAGTTACTGTCCAATTTGAGTAGAGAGAGTGGTACTAGCCAATCAGATTGAAGCAAGACTAGACTTTGTATGTGTAATAACAAAAGATTAAATGCTCTGGTTGAAATGCAATCCTAGAAACCTACGGGTTTTGTAGGTTCACCGTTTTGCACTTTTTCTGTCTTTACATGAAGATGTCTCCTAATAAGCGCAGGTCACGATATGGCAGTGAACTTGGCTGCTATCCTCTGTAGCTTTTAGATATCTTATCAGGCAAAAAAGCTGAGTACTTGTAAATGACAGAAATCCAATTGGCTCAATGGCCAATGATTTTTAGGATTGAGATCTAGTTTATGTTTGTAGTCAGAGTTAGCCTACTAACTTATTAGTTCGGAGGCTTTCCTTGTATGCAGGAGAGCTAAATAAGCAGAAGTTATCTGTCAAAATGTAACCCCAGAACCCATTGGGGTGTCATTGGCTGCCATCTGACAATAGTTAAGGTTTGTTATTCCATAAGAAGACATCTGCATTTGAGTGCAAAAAACAGCAATCTATATGTCGATGACTGCTCTCCCAAACCTTAAGATGTCGGTTGGTTAAACAATGACTGGTGGTGGATAGAGGAAGTCTTGGCTCTGGTTTTCCAGTGCTACTTGTCAGGATCCCCTCTGGTTACACCAAAAGCTCAAAAACTTTGCAGATACTCCCAGAAGCAATGGTTGTCAGACAGCAGCTGGTAGATCCCTAAATAGGTTAGATGTTAAAGCAGTAATTGTGTGCTGTTCTTCCCATTTGTCAATGGTTGGGGTATAACTTAGAGGGGAACTTTGGTGTTTTTCAACCTTGGCCCTATTTTCCCATGTGCTTGTGTGTGCTCGACTGGTTGGGGGAACAGTTTTTGGAACTGGTCCAGTATTGAGGGAGAGCAGAGCAGTCACCAAACCAGCTAAAATACAGTTTGACTGAGCAATTACACAGTGTCAAACTGCGTCCACTAAAAATTCAGGCTTTTGGTAATCCTAAAGAAGAGGGGCAAGTGGCTGCAGTTTGCTGTTTTAATTGTTTGGCCACGTGAGTATTATTTCGAGGATAAGCTGAAGCACGCCAGCACGACAAAAATGTCATTTCTTTCTATCCACACTGACTTCGATCTCCATTACAGCCACCATAATCAACTGACAGATCTGGGACTTACCCAAATGAAGGATTGTTGAAGGGCTTCGACTTGTGGCAGCCTTATATTAGAATCTGTTTGGACTGTGTGTGATGAGACAGATTAGTGATGGAAATATCATGGAAATGTCAGTGAATGCATCGTGGACCTCTGGTTATTAACTTGGCTATTATGTGGTTTAATGAGTTGCTGTATAAGTATTGCTGAAGCGTCAGAAGGTTTTAGGAGTACATCAGGTGCTATCAGGTGCTATTAGCTTACCCATGAAGTGATTTTTGGGATGGTTGAATAGCAGAGTAGTAAAATTGTATGTCTGTATTGAAAAAAAATAGTACATTTATACAACTAATTCTGCACATTTCCTCATATTGAAGCCCCCGTGTCAAGTTTTTTTGGGAGATTGTAATGTTTGAGATTTAAAAACTGTTGCAGTATTCACTTCATATTTCTACACAAGGGGGCTTTGAATGAGAAGTTGTCAAATGAATTTGTAAATGAGTTATTTATACTATGTCCATACTTCTGTTAATGATGTAATTTTTTAGCAGCTTGTTGATTTTTGGCCTATGTGTTATGAATAAAGGCATGAATCATTTTTAACTTAAAAACAAGGCTCATGTCCGAAATGAAGTGAAAAAGTCCCCTTTGTGATTTTCACATTTATCATTAAGTAAAGACCTAGCTGCTCGGTCAGAAGTGGCCAAGATTCGACTTTTGATCATATTTTACCAGCACACAACATTAGAGTAGTTTAAATGGAAACATAACTCTTGGAAAGCTGCTCTACTTCTTAAATCTCCCTGTCAAAAAATGTAGCATTTCCAAAACCACAGCACTGAACACTTCTTGGATTATCTGAATACCTGAGGCTTTTCATTTGTTTCAGCACAATAGTCTCATTGGAGAGCTAAGACCTTCTCGTTCCTTAAAAAGTAGGTCTGGTATCAAAATTCTGGGGAAAGCTGGTGGAAATGGGACCTTAAATCTGATTAAAAAATCATAAAGGTTTATTTTGGTAACTATCTTTGCAACTAATGTTGAACTACAGATAAATTTAACTACTTGAGAATGTGCTGTACTTTATTGTGAACAGAAGATTATTAGTTTCAAATCCATGATTTTTATTTTCTACCACCCACTGGGCTGGGGTGGTCTTGAACAAATTGAATTAAAATTAAGGTTTTAAAAGTCCTTAGCCCATTTTCAAACAGCGCACATTGTTGGTGATCACTTTATGCTGGCGTCATAATATACAAATGCATTCATGCCTTTTTTTGTGACTGTGAATTTATGTTGTCTAATTTTTGTTAATACATTTTGTAAGAGTTGCTAGAGTTGTTTTCTTACCAGTTATTCAGGTTTCTGTCCACTTCTTTCTGTCATTACATGTTTCTTTTGGTACAAACTCTTCCAACCTTTGACGGGACATGATTTATGTTTTAGCACAGGACAAGACACAAATATGAGCTGTGACATCTACTGTAAAAACTCTGTATAAATGTGACTGATTTGGATGGAATTTGCAATAAAATCACTTTGTATTTTTTATGTGCCAGATGGATGAACATCTTTTACGAATTGTTTCATCACACTAAGTGCCATTCCAAGGCATACAGATGATACCATCTAAAATGTAAGACCAAACCATTTTTGGTGCTTTTCTATTATATTTCCCTTATTTAACAGCATAACATTACATCATATTGGGACCGGGCATATCATGAATCCCAAAGGAAGGGCATCAGAAGTGGTGAAAAAAGGAACACTGATCATCTTAGGTTGGTTCTTGATCATCAAACTATGAGCGTGGTCTAGACCTGCTCTTGTTCTTTGAAAAGCATCTTGAGATGACGACTGTTGTGAATTGGCGCTATATAAATAAAATTTGATTGATTGATTGATTGATTGATTGATAGTTTTTGTCTTAAGTGTTCGACTTTTTCTTGGCAGTGGCCCTAAAAGTCAACCAACATAACACAACAAAAATAATTTTGATGCCAAAAATGTGTGTAAAATGCTGAAACATTTCTTGAAACAGAGCTTGAAATTACAATTAAGATTCATTCACCAAAAATATTTAAATCAACAGAAAATCAAATCAGTTTTAAACAAATTTTGCAAAACATAATTAATAAAACAAACAAAAAAATAAAAAATATAAAAAAAACCCCACAATATTAAAATATTTTGGAAGCATTTTAATCATGGTAAAAATATTTCAAATGCCAAAATATGAATTTTTGCAATTCAAAGACAAAAAAATTTGATAAAATATTTACAAAGCTATTATATTTATCTGCCATCTTCCGAAAATATTTTCATATTTTGTTAATTTATTTATTTAATTAGATCTTGGATGCATTTTAATGTTTAATGATCTTCTTATTGCTTAGGTGTACATATATAGAGATCCTTTTGACTATATATATATACATATATATATAGTCAAAAGGAATATACAGCGTTTGAAAGATATTCAGGATTCAACAATTTTCTTACATGATAAACCAAATTTAGCGGAACCTTGCACTGTAAATAATAAACAGTTCCTATTGTCACGCAATAGACGTGCAACCTATGTTATTTCCCGAACTGAGTCTGTCAGGCAGGGCTATTCTCAAGCTAGTGCTACACGGTGAGTGTAAATTCATCGTTTCCTTCTTTAGCTGACACATCAACAAAAGATATCTATCTCTGTATACTGTATGAAATGACGGGCATGTTATATCGGGACTGGTCGTGTTTTTCTGCCGGTTTCTTTAAAAGATCGATACCTGAAAGGCTTGGTGTAGGTCAAAGTGTACCCACAGTGCGGCAGCAGCAGTCCAGGGAACACAGCAGCTGAGCTCAGATTCAGTTGTAACCCAGCACAGTGTTCAGAAACTGCTCAGGCTGATGTTTGTGGATGAGAAAAAACAGGAGGGACTCGTTAAAGTTAAAGGAGGAGTGATGTTTGAGAACTTCAGAGAAAGACTTCATATGGTCCAACAAGATTTCACTACCGGGTAAGTAAGGGTTCGAGTGTGAAGCCAGAGCTAATATTTGTACCTGCTTCAGATACCTGTAACAACACCCTCCGTTAAAGGTATTGTGGCCTCTCGCCTACAAGAACGTGTGTATGCAGCGTGTTTGCTCTGTGATAAAACACCTGTAATGTTCCTCTGCAGAGCTCTTTTTAGCAGCTAAAGAGGCTAACGAGCTAACATGCTCCAGCTTCATTTCTGCTTTTACTGCGTCTCTGCTGACTTATGTGTCTCTCAATTTATGCTTTACTGTGAACCATATTACTCGTATACACTCATCCATGTAACCTACCAGTCTACTGTCAGTATTATTTCTCACATTAACCAGCTCAGACTCAGCTGTTCCTTGTTATTACTTTCAGCTGACAGTCATGTGATGTGATGAGGATTTTTTTTAAACCCCAAACTTTATTGACTGAAAAGGCAACTGTACTCAGGATTAAAGACTAAGTTAAACGTTGTTTCGTAACAAACTGGCATCAAAAAATGTCTCCTACTACAGAGCCATGCTGTTGTTATTCCTGAAGAATCTGGTTTGTCATTGTCTTGCTGAAATATGAAGGTCTTCCCTGAAAAAGTCATTGTCTGGATAGCAGCACATGTTGCTCCCATAGACTGAATATACTATACATTCTTTATACAGTCTATGGTTGCTCCTAAACCTGTATTTATTTCCTGTCTCTCTGCAGCTTCAAGGCTCTTGGAGACAAATCCAGGGATCCCAAAATCAGGAGGAGACCCAGGTAAGTAGAAAGCTGTCAGCTATATAGATCAGCTGCTGCTTCACTGTTGTGAAAGTGAGATTTTGGAAATGTTCAAATCCGTAGCTCTATTTTAACTCATTTGACATTATTTTGTAAGATTAGAATAACTGTATAAAAAAAATTAATGTTGCATATTTACACAAACCAATGAAGCGAGGCAGAGGGAGAACAACAGCTCCTATGTATTGTATTTGTGACTTTGTGAGGATGTGAAATAATAGCTGTCTGTGGTTGAAAAATCCTCCATAGGTTTGAAGAAAGTCTTCCTTATTTCAGTGCTGGAGTGGAAATCCTCAGCAGGTCTGTCCTGACACACACACACACACACGCACGTACACACACATAAACCCATTTATATGATTCTAGACAATATGTTGATTAAAAATGAACATGTAAAAAAGTAAACATGTAATTAAGTTAAACAAAATATTAGTGTATTTATTATTGTAAGTCTTAAATGTTGGTCATGTGCTGTGTCTAAGCTGTAGAATAATGTAATTTAATATTGATTCTGACAAACATTTGTGATGTTCTGAAATCAAATCTATATAATAACCCAGTGTATTTGCCCTTTTATTAATTCATAAGAAAGCAGAAAGGTTACTGGCTAGGATAATTGTGTGTATCGGATTAATGTTAACCTAAAAAAAAGTTTTTACATTCTTTTGTTTTCTGTTAAAGAATATACCCTAAATTTCCATGGTATATTTTATAAGCCAAATATTGTATATTTGCTTAATAAAACATTTAAAAGTGAAGCTGAAATCATTGTACGCTGTTAAAGGAAAAACAATTACAATCTCTTATCATTATATATCTGCCGTTGGTTGATTGCTTTCTCGTTATCAGTTCTGGTGTCATCTGTTGAAAAACTAATATTGGTCCGACAGGTATGTGGACATTGACCTGCAGGCAGGACTACAGGCTGGTGGTGTTAGCCATGCTAGTATGAGCCACACTCTGTAAAGCAGTTTGGTGTGTTTATTTGCAGACTGTGTGATTTCTGATTTAAAATGGGCCCAATCTGACTGTTCTTAGTGCATTCTTGCCTTTGGATTAGTAAGTTAGCCGGACTCAGTAACTCAATATCTTTATTGAAATGATGTGGAAATTGGTCACTCTGGAACATCCTTGGTATTTATGCATATGTTGTTGTTTTTTTTAATCCGGTAGGTATGAAGACAGTTGGTTTCTGCTCCATAAAAAGACCAAAGACTGCGCTCAGGCTGCAGAGGTAGGAACAGAGACACACAACAACATCCCTGCCTTAGACTCCTGTAATGGCTCATAATACATATATTCATTCTTGTGTTAGTCGGAGCTGGAGTATGTTTTCAGCACAGTTAAGGCTTTTCAGAAACAACAGTATTAAAGAGGAGAAACTTCTTAAGAGGTTTAGTAGGTGATTGCCCAATGAGGTTATCTTATATGAATAATCTACTGCAGATTTTTACACATTAATGGCTTGTGTGGTTAGGGTCTGTGTTGTGTTCTGGTGCAGAATAAGGAGTCAGGACACAGGACTGCACTTACTGCACACTGTGCAAGAAGAGCAAAAACATTCATGAGCTGTTTGTGTGTCATCAGCCTCCCCCCAAGAACAGAAAGGACACCACATGTAAGACATGGAGTGAGGGAGCTAACAAGAAGACCTAACCTTAGCTTTAGTTTTGTGACCAAACTCACGTAAAACTTACAACAACCAACATTATTATCTCAAAAATGAACAAGAAATATACTGCGCAAGATTAACCACAGCAGTTTGTCCACTCATGAGTGCAAATAACTTTTATGAACTTTTGGCAGCAGGGCAGAGTGAAAACAAGGCTTACCTTGTCATCAGAGTGCACATGCCAGCCCTGTCAGCATGGCAACACTCACAGAGTCTTAAAGGCACAGGCATGATGACAACAGTGTAGAATATATCATAAAACAGATGTTTTGGTGAAATTCACAAGTGTCGAAGCTGTAACCTATTACACTTTCATGAAATTGAGACTGTGATAAAAGATTATGCCATTTCACAAAAGATAATTTCCTATCCTCTCTGCCTCATCCATCCTCCACCTATAACCCTGTATATGTGTGTGTGTGTGTGTGTGTGTGTGTGTGTGTGTGTGTGTGTGTGTGTGTGTGTGTGTGTGTGTGTGTGTGTGTGTGTGTGTGTGTGTACCAGGTCGCTGATGGGGACATAGTGATGCTCTCGGCTCACTGGGAGAGGAGGAGAACAGCTCTGACTCAACTTCAGGAGCAGCTGCAGAGTTTACCGGCCTTCATCAGTGAGCTGGACACCATGACAGCCAACATTGGTCTGTACTCTATCATTTATGCTAACTGTATTAGGGTTGCTCTTTCTTCACATGGCCTAGCAATCTTGCGGTCATTGGCCTATGCTAACTGTTAGCACAGTGTGACATCCAGTCACTAATTTTTGTGTTTTTGTTTGTTTGTTTGTAGCTCTGCTGGAAGGAGACTTTGAGGAGATGGAGAGCAGGCTGGTTTATCTGGAGACTCTGTGTGCTCAGTGTGAACAACAGACATCCAAACAGCATCACATCAACCAGCTGGAGGCGTACAAGAAGAAAAAGAGGTCCATCAATTCAAATCACCATTTACTCTCCTTTCAAGTCCTTTTCCCCCTCATGCTGATTCACTGTTTTTATAAAATTAGATATAGTCCAAAAGATTCTCGATTCAGCTTAGTGTGGATTGACCAGTTTATTTGAATAGCTCTTGACATAAGTGATTAATTAGTTAGTCTCAGTCCTAGTACTGGTGTTGATCAAATCCAGCCCTGCCTTTGTATCTATGCAAAAAGTGCCAAACAGCTGCAGTCTATACCCCTTAGTGTTGATAGATTTAATTTAAGGTGTGCCATCATCAGGATGTTCAGATTTTGTTCTTTAGAGTTAAAAAGTGTTGTTATGGGGTCTTGACCAATCAGAATCAAGTATGTGAGAAGGTAGTGTAATGCTAATGTAATGTGACATTAAGATGATGCCAGAATAACGACTTTGTTGCTCCTTTTACAGGAAGGAGTTGGAAGCCCTAGAAGGTAGGTTGCATTACTTGTGTCTAGTCTGATACCTATTACTGTGGTCTGAACTGCACACTTTGATTTTGAGGCAGCAGGAAAATAGGGACACAATCACAAACCAACATGTTCATGCATCAACACTTAAGTGTGAAGACTCCTGGTGAACAGCTTTGAGTACACACACACAGAAAAAGAATACTGTAGTTTATACCAAAATATTGGTTAAGTCAAGTTAACAAAGACTTTGAAACACTCTATGTGTGTTTTTTTTTTTTTTTTGTAGTTGAGCTGAATGCTGAGCATGCTCACAAGGTGGCTGAGCAGGAGCAGGCCATGCATCAGAAACTGAGAGAACGTCAGAAAGTCTATGAGGAGGCCTTCAACCAAGACGTCAAGCAGTACCTGTCCACTGGATACCTACAGAGCAGGCGTAAGTTACACTTTGTAACATTTAAACGTCTTCATCATGTTCAGCATACAAATATGTCAGTGGAAATACAGATTCTGAAAGGGTTGTATCTAAATGTTTGGCTTTCATTTACACATCATGTCCAAACTGTTTGGGTTGGTATGGTGCTTTAGACGGCAGCCTTTAAACATGTAGAAGAGCCTGTTTCTCCCCAGTGAATGAAAATATGTTTTGGGTTCAATACCATCACACCCCTTTTCCCTCTTTAGCCTTCTATTAAAATGTGTGCATGAGAATGTCTAAGTCCACAGGGTTGAAGTCAATGGACCTCTTTATCAGCTGTTTCCATGATGAATCATAGTATCGGGATCTACTCATGGTCATTCTGCATGCTCTCAACTCAACATGCTCAGGGTTGACAGAACTTAAAGTGAGCTGTACCCAAACTGAAAAATCACTTTTCTATCTGAGGGTGAATCAATATACTTGTGGATTTGTCGTTTTGACCAACAATGTGTTAGTGCACAGCTGTATTCTTGTGTGCTTCCTCTTGTTTTTCGGTTTCTAGAGCTTCCAGGTGTCTGGTAAGGTAAAACAAAGTCCTAATATGCTAAAACTAAGTTTGTGTTTAGAATCAACAGGTGCTGATGTTAGCGTTCTGGATCAAATGACAGTAACTAATACATCAGACCAGGAGGCGCTAGATGACTTCCTCAACTCTGCCAGTGATGACATCAGCACTGGATCATCTCTAACCTCAGGTGACGCCACGCAGTTACTGCACTTTTTAGACCTATAAACCAGAGCTTAAAAATTATACAACACAGAGGCTGCACCAGTCTTTTCCGTCAGGAGCTTAGCTGTATTTTGGGGACACTTATTGAGACTTTGCTCTTTCCTGACTTCTGTCCCCTCCAACAGGTCCAGACCTTGAGTCCTGCTCCTCAGAATCTTCAAGAGGCCAAATGCACCAAACCCCTCCCACAACCAGCCAAATGTCCAACCAGGACGCAGGGTGGGAGCAGGAGCAGGAGGAGGAGGAGGCTTGTAGTGAGGAGAGTAACGACCCCATGGTTCAGTCTGATGAGGAAAACGTTCAGCTTGATATGGCGCTATCTGGTCTGCTGGATGTTGACACTCTGAAAGGCTCTGATGACAGTGACCCTGCTGAGGATCTGCCATCAGGCTAACCCTGGAACCAGAGCCTAGACTTGATATAAATTCTAGGTCATCAGAGACTGCTGTTACCCCCTTTAATGCTCTTTGAATGGTCTGTTGTGATTTGACATGGCTTGTCATCATGACCTAAGTGCTTTTTTTACTCTGTAAAGGTAATTTCAGTATTTTGAAACTGGACACAAACATACTCAGTACAGCAGCAACTCTTATTCTTCCCTGAGTGAAATTCTTTTTTTAGTTTAAAGAGTCTGTTGACCTTTGTGAGTATAGAATATTGCCTTACTTTGGTTGAAAAATGATAATCTTCCTCTTTAACAAATTGCTCTATCTCTGAATGAATCCATCCTCTAATGTTGTCAGGTCCTTAAAACAACAATCTGAGCATGTCCACAACCAGGGACATAAAGAAGAATTAAAGTAAACAGTTTTGATGTTGAGCAATTGTTTTCAAGGATTATGTTGCAGGACTGAGATCCTGTTGCACTGCTACAGTCAAGACTAGAGTAAGATGAGACTGTTAAATATGTAAGCACAGGGAAGTTTCAAACAGGCTGGGATTTCTATTCAGTGTTCACCAAAATGAGGCAAATACTATAAACTATGAAGCCAGAAACTACTGCATCTCACACAGGGCATCATAATTTGAATTTTAGTTATGTGTATCTTCTCATGTTTCACAATTGGAAGCCTTGTCAGTGACTGATGTCACGATGCATTACAGCGTATAGTGTGTTGTCAATTTTCCTGTTATTGCACATGTGGCTTGTGGAACATTGATACGCATTAATACTTGCTGAGTACCAAATGCTGGAAATATTTTCTGTTTAACAATTAGTTTAGGCAGGCTCCTTGCAGGTAAATATTTAAACCACTTGAATCATAATGTAAAAAGATAAAAAATATGCTCAGCCTTTACCTTTGTGTCGCTTACATTGTCAATGTCCAGCTCCTTACTATCTGCATGAGAGCTTTGCAGGGGCAGGCTGACAAACACAAACACAATACACTAGTCACTGATGTGCACTTACTACAAAGGCAACAGTTGTTATCTTCTGTCACTGCCTCTATTCAAAGTCACTCATGTCTGCATCAGCAGTGGCCTAGTTTAACACTCCTATTAAATGTGGTCACCTTAATGCACATGTGCACCTGTCTCTGTAAATTCAGGGGTTGCATTGTAACCTTAATCTAGTCATATTACAAGTTTGGCCAAACACCCTGTCTTGAGGTCACATTTGATGTTAAAAATCACATATGAGATGAAACGACTTTGGTTTTATCCATCATCCAGATTTTCCATCCACTAAAAAACCACACGCTTGCAGTATTTTGAGTTTTGTGGCCACTGTAGGTCTTCCTCATGAGGAGGGGAGGGGGGATTTGTTGTGAGTTAGTTGTAATTTGCAACTTCACCGTTAGATGGCACTAAAGCACATACACAAACCCTCAAAGTTAATTGCCTTATTCAAGATATAACAACATAACTTTAAAACAGATGTTGAGATTAAATGGTACAGTGATGCTGTGCTGTGAGAAAATGCAGTCATAGGCAGTAATGCTTGATTGAAAGGATATTGTCAGATTATGACAGGTAACCTGCTGTGCTCACAGATCAGATGTTTTGACAGCTTCACACTGATTGACTGTTTAGAAGTTGATCAGGCTACTGGGTTTCTGAAAGAGTCTTTGTGTGATCAGCTGCTATTTACAATAACAATAAATGAACTCTGTGTTCCCTTCCATACTGCTCAAATATTCACCTTTTTTCATCAGCAGTGAACTAAAAAATACGTGTTATAAAAACATGAAACTCTGACACACTTAAGAATAAAAATACAAGTGTCATCATTGACTCAGAAAGATGATTTGACACCAAAATGTTGCTCATGTGCGTAAAACTCCATGAGACTAGTTATTTTCTAGTTATTGCATTGTTCATTTTAAGATAAGAAACAAGAAGAATTAAGTTATCCCCAAGGGGAAATTGGAATTATCCATTCCTCAAGTTGGTGTGAAAACACTGGAACTCTACAAAAAGACACAGACACATTATTGGATATGTTTTTTTAAGCAGTTGTTGGAAAAAAAAAAAGAAAATACTCACACTAAACTAATTAATTTCCATTACTGAACTGTAGTTCAAAATTAACCCAATATTCTTTGTCTCTTTACCTATTTATAGAAAATATTAACCTTAAAGTACGTCAAATTTCTGTGCCCCATGAGAGATAGGATATTGGTACCGTTAGAGTGTTTAAAACAATCTGTGTTGCCTACTGCTATAATATTAGCTTGTAACATGCTAAGATGTGTATCTCTGATAATTGTGTGTCCCCAACTCTTTTCCTCACCCTGACCCAAACCTTCAGTGAGAAATGACCCCAAAACCAGTTTATGCGTGGATGCACTTTTTTATCAGGTATACTTGAATTTGCAAAGACACCTGCAGCAGCAGAAGTTAGAGTCATGTCTGTAATGGCTGATTTGATCATAGACATAAATACTACTAGTACTACTACTACGAACAACAACAACAACAAACAAACAACAAGTTGATGTACCTTTATACAGCAGGCCTATGTGCCTCTGAGCCAAGTATAGGAAGGCCAGAACACACCCGAACCCCCACACATCAATTACGGCGGTGAGGGCTGAGTGAGCAAAACGTCAGGAGCTCTGAGGAGGAAAGTCCACAGACCAGGGTAAGAAATCAGTCTGCAGTCTCTGAGACAGCACAGGAGAGTCTATTAACAGTCAAACTCTCTTGAGCTGTGCAGCATGACCCAACCTGTATCCACAAGGCTGAATTATTTGACCACACTGGACTTTGGGGCAGGAATAGAGACCTCAAAGTCAATCAGCTTTACCCTGAGAGGCTGCAGGTCTTGTCTGACCAGCATGATGTTGTTTGGTTTGATGTCAGTGTGCAGGATTCCCAGACTCTTTGAGGCATCAAGAAGGACCAACAGCTGTAGGATTAAAAAAATGACAAACTCTGGGTTTAGTTTTCCTGAGCACAAGAAATAAATGATGACATGAAGAGGGCCGAGTGTGTGAAATGTGTGGCTGCACATGTGAAATGATGATGACCCTGAAATAAACTCCGGCTGTCACTCCTGAGACAAAAAGCATTTCCACCACAAAGTACCTGGAAGTTTGAGTTCAGTCAGGACCTCAGAATTATTGTCATACAATAGTTATATTTGGATGTATGGCCCTGGTCTAAAACTCCCTGCCCCTCCATCAAAGTCTGCAGTGTTTATTTTATCAATGAAATGACAGTATGTCCAGAGAAGCACCTTTTCAGACCACAAAAACCGCTGAAACAACTTACTGTTGTCATAAGCCAAAGATAACGTGAGGATAACATTCTGAGTGTGAGCTGACACGTTGATGGGTTTAGATCAGTTTTTGATTCCTGAGACTCCTGGGAGTGGACACTGATCACCCCTGGGGGCAGGTGGAGAGCAGAGCCCCACTCTCGAGGATGAGGAGCATCCCAAACTCACCTGTGCAGGTGAAGCTGTCACTGTGGCTGTGGGTTTGTGAAGCTCCTCACATGTTTTAAGGAGCTCTCAGTACCTACTCATCTGCGTGTGACTACATCAGGACAATCAATAAAGAGATGCTGAAAGTTCAGAGTGAAGCTACAGACTTCAGAAGTGCAACTCAGCATTTTAATGTTTCAGATATAATTAGTCATCACTTCAAACTATCTGAGCTGTCATTCAATAAAATAGACGAGATCTACTTTGATTAAATGTTCTGTGGGAACCAAATAATTGACTTTCTGACTCTAGTTGATCATGAAGCTTTTTTAATACTGAATTTATTGCAGGTATTTACATGGAACATTCTCAGTTTTGCTCCATTACTTTGCTCTCCTGCTCTTGAGTAAAACTCCGTTTCTACCATATGATCCAATGTTGCCCTGTGATAACTTGTTTTACAGTAATTGCATCTTGACATCATTGTAAATGAGAAAAACCTCAATGATTTTAAAAGTCACACAGCAAGTTGTCAGCAATGAAAGCCCAAAATAATGACTGCATCTCTCCATCTTTGGATGAGCTGCTTTGACAAATTCTGCTGCTTTGCCACACGGTCTATAATGTAATATGAATGATGATTACAAGACATTTTCGTGCAAGAGTAATAGACGCTGTGTTTCATCCCACCTACCACTCAGTGAAGTCCCTTATTTTATGCAAACTAGTAATGAAATGTGGACCCTGAAAAAAAGCCCCATTGAGCCTGATTCCAGTTGAGCAGAGCCTGAGGCTGCTCATGCTTCATTTAAGCTACATCAGGTGATGGAGGATGATGTCAAAGAGGGGTGTGCTGTGCCTGTCTGTGTATATGAAGGGTAGTAATTCAGGCATCGCACAGGAAAGAAGAAAAAAAAGGTGAAGGAAAAGAAGATGACAGAAACGGGACAGCTGTTTGCTTATATCACCTTTGAGTTTGTGTCCAGTCCAGAGTAAACAGACTGCTCACAACATAATGCAACAAACATGCTTGTACCTATCTGTCAGCGTGGACCACATCCAAAAAATGCAGTAAGTAGTCTTAAGATAGAGTACTTGAGATAAATTTTGGGTCTTTAAATTGTCCGGAGACTGTAAACTGTCATCCTGTGTCCTCTGGAAATCTCAGTGGTGAAATAAATAGTAAATAAAGCAGCAATTACCTTTCCAGGACAGTTTAAGCGTTTGGTTTTATTGTATCTGTGAGGCTGCTGTTACCACTCTGCAACTCCACTTGTATCTGAACTAATTAGTTAATGACTCTTTTACACTTAGACTCTACACTATTGCACCGAAACTAAAAACATTAAACTGTTCACAGAATCAATGTCAGGTAAAATAAGGAGGCAAGAAACTTTACAGCCACACTTCCTGTATAGTGGGAGATTTGGCAGATTTGGCCTTTAGGTTCACCTCTTATATCCAGATTCAATTATTGTGACCACAGCCATGTTCATTTTTTTTTTTTTTTTTTTTACAGGTTGTAATTATGTTTATTTCTGCACTATTAAACTGGTTTATTTGGCTTAGTGTGTAGGTGGCTTCAAGTGCCTCTGCAGCCAGCCTCAAGTGGACACTCCAGGAACTCCAGTTTTCAGCACTTACACATCAGCTTCAATTCTCAAGACTGGAGCTTGCCACTTGACCTTAACACACCAACAAGAATCACTTACATTCCCCACCACATTTGTTCTATTTCCTGCTGAGACATACACCAGATGGCCACTGGGAGATCTCTAAACAGTGAAGTCTTAATGTGCATTATTATCACAGTGCACATAAGAAGCTGAAGTCATGCAAAGATCAGAGGGTACCCTGACACAGAGTGAAAAAAAACCCTCAGTATTTGAATTTCTATGATGTGGCTTTAAATGGAAATTGAAGATAAAAACACGTATGTGGAAATCTTGTGTTTTAAGTTTCATTCACTTTTTTTGTTGTGACCCGGAAGTTGTGATTTGGAGCAAGACTTTCCATATACATCTGATGCCTTTAAGCTATCTTAGAACAATCAAAGGGATAACTAAGAGGCTGTTAGTCAAAAACACCGTAACAAAAAAACCCCACTGCATCCACCTATTTCTCCCATGTACAGCTCAGGAGGAGGAACAAAAAGCTCATTGGGAGGAAAAGGGGCTTGTGGGGTAGGCGCAGTGTCAGGTGGGGGTGCTGTACTCACTGAGGGAGCCTGAGGAGTGAACCCCTGGAGGGAGGTTGGAGGTTAAAATCCCGTTTGTCAAATATTTGGGTTAATACGGTCACAGTGAAGACTGAACTTGGATTTGGGTGATGGAGACTTCCCTCATACGGATAAGAAACGACAAAGAAAAACTGTCTAATCTGTTCTTTCTGTATGATTAAATTGTATGCTTTACAACATAAAGTGTATTCATTTTGTATTGTCAGGGACCTCGTCACAACTCTCTGTTTGTATACCAGGTTAATCTTTCCCCCAACATCCCGGAGGCATTTTCTGAATATTCAGTTCCTCTGAGGTATTTCTTTTGACCACCTGTTGGGTAATAAATGTGTACTAAAACAGCATCTGTCAACTTCAGTAGGTGAGAAAAGATAAGTGTTCACAAATTCAGAGTGACAGCTCGAGGTTTTCCAATAGCTGAGTCATGTTTTAACGGTCTTAATTGCCCTGCTTGTCATCTTGCTCAGGTCTTTTCTTCCTCCTAGCTGCTCATTCGACAGGCTGACCGGTGGGAGATAAAGGGACCTAATGGTCTGTCTGAATGACTGAGTGAAAGGAGGAACATTAAACATGGAGCTGTCTGTCAAGATGGTATCAGCTTCCCACTGAGATGAAAATGTCATCACTCCAAGGATCCTTGTCATTGTCGACTGGAAATGATCTAGAACAGTTACTTATAGAAAGAAAAAAAATATATATAGAAGTTTGCTGCGGTGACTGAGAGATGTGACCTCCTGTTGAGTCTGAGAACAGATTACAACAATCATACAACCATCATACAACATACATACTGTCCACAACACAATAAAGCACCTTAGAGGTCATCTCTGCAATATCTTGATACAACTTTTATTTGGGTTTAGAGTTAGACTACCCCCTCTAGTGTTCAAATGTGAAGTGTAGTTAACATAAGTCACATGAAAGAGAGTGATGGGTCCAAATCTCAATACGCTGATCTCTGACAAGGCAAATAGACAAATAAACTGGTGTTTTGACCTGATTTTGTTTACTGGCCCTGGTGGCCCTACAGCTGCCCGGCCTTTTGGGAAATGTTCCAATTCTCCTGATTAGCCACTCCAGGCCTGCCATAATCCAACTCAGGTCCATCCCCTGGTCCAGGCAATATTCCAAATGAGACGTTTACATGCAGAACAGAGGGTCGAGCTGTGGAAATATTACTGCTGACATGTTAATCAGCTCAGAATGAACCAGCGATACAGCAGCAGTAGAAACCGTAACAGCAAGACGTATCCTTTCAAATTGAACACACGCAGATGTGGATGTAATAATCCACCGAGGAGCATTTTCTGTCCGTCACAGTCACTACAGGCAAATGCCAGGGCTCTTACTTATTCTTAGCTATTAAAAGTTAGAATTTATTCTGGTTATTTCAATCAGGCAAAGGTGTTTACATGACTCATTCACCGTCATGGTGCCGCTATCATTTTAATACAGGAATATGTTGTTCATGCAAACGTAATGAGTGAGCCACACGTCTACAGACCTCCCTGCGGCATTTTGAAATTAAATGACGAACAGGAGTGTCCAGTCCCAGTTAATGTGAGCAGAAATGACAGGAATATGCCTTAGAGGGGAGCAACATATTCTGCAGTTAAAGGTTTGAATTGAATTCAATT